CCCCGCCTTCCCGGTTCTCCCCCCCCCTTCTGAGATGCAGAGCTGGAGGGGGAGGGGCTTCCCATGGCTCCTTGCCACCCCCACCTTGGCTGGGGCAGCCCAAAGTCGCTTGCCCGGCCAGGGGGGTCCCTGTGTCTCCCAGAGTGTTGGGGGGGGGTCCTTGATAGGCTTCAGGGCAAGAGCCCCCCAACACCTGACCTGAGGGGTGGTGCCTTGCTTGCAGGAAACCTCCCGTCCCCCCACGCTCTGATGTCTCGGCTGCTGGTGAGTTGGGGGGGGAGTGGGCGGGGGGGGTAGCAGCCCTCTGCCTGGGGGGCCAAGAGGGTGGGGGGGTGGGAGGGGTTTCTGACTGGGAGGGGGTCTCTGCCCTGCTCCTGGGGAGGGGGATTCGGGTGGGGCCTCCCCTCCCCTCCCTCTGGACATTCCCCCAGTCCAGGGGCTTTGGGACCCCCTCGTGCTCTGGGCCAGACCCCGCAAGACGCCCCCTCTGCTCCCCCCACCCAGATCGTGGCCTCCCAGCCCTTCCTGGGGGGGCCCCGTGGGGCGGGGGCCCTGCGCCTGCTGCTAGTCCTGCGCCTGAGCGTCCACCCAGCCGCCGAGCCCCTCTGGACCAGCAGCCTCCCTGCTCTGCTGCAGCACCTGGAAGGTAAGGCCGGAGGAGGCCCCCCGTGCCCCCCCAAGTCCCGCCAGGGTCCCTCCCCGTTTTCTTCTCACTGCAGCCTGAAGAGGCCACCCCTCCCCCACTTTGGGGACCCCCCCCCGGAAACAGGATGGACCGAAATGGCCTCGGTTGGTGGTTGGGCTGCTTAAGGCCCCTCTGGGTGTCGCCTCCTCCCCCCCCGCCGGTCAACGGTGGGCCTCCTTCCTTCAGGTGTGGAGTTGGGGGGGCTGGGCTCAGCTCGGGGGGGGGCTGTGGGGGGGCTGGGTCTCCCACCACTGCTTTGCCTTTCCAGCTACCACGGAGGCCTCCCTGTCTCTGAAGGACTGGCAGGACCAGCTGCTCCAGGTGAGCCTCCCCAACCCCCCCACCTGGGGAGAGCTGGAGGGGGAGGCCGGGCCCGGGGAGCCAAGGGGAGGGCAGGACGTCCCCCCTCTAGCCCCTCTGACTGGGCATCTCCCCCAAGGGCTCCCCTGCAGCTGACCGGATAGGTTTGTAGGGCCATCCGGCTCGCAGGTGGCGACTTCCGTACCACCTTTGTAAGAAATAAGGAAGTTGGAAAATAAAATAGCATATAAGATGCTTAAAGGTTTCACAAACGGGGGGTTGGATTGGATGACCTGCAGGGTCCCTTCCAGTTCCAATTCTGTTATCAAATACCTTCAGCCTCATCCAGGAGATAAAAGCCCCAGGAAGGGTGATTGAGGGTCCCTGAGTCCTGGGGGGGGGGGGCTTCCTTGGAGGGAGGGGGGCTTGGGGACATTTCTGCCTCCTGGGGCTCATTTTGGAGCAGGAAGGAGCTGCTCTCCTGCTCCACTTAGTGACCTGGGTGAGACGAGCTGAGTCTCGGGCATCGGGGGATGGGGGCTCCGGCTGACCACATGGCCACAGCCCCAGAGGCGGAGGGCCAGGCGGGGGCGGGGGGGGGCGGCCCAGGGAGCTGCGGCTGCGGGGGGCCCCCCGGGGGGGGGGGGGCCCTTGGGGGGGGGGGTCCAACTGCCCTGCCTCCCTCCCTGGTCCAGCAGGGCCCCTCGGGCGGACGCCACCCTGAAATGCCCGCCTCTCCCCACAGTTCCTCCAGAAGACCCTGGACGCCATTTCGGACGTGCCCTGGACCGCCCAGCTGGTCTCGGAAATGTGCAGGCAGCTGAGTGGCTACAACGGCCTCTCTCCGGAGAAGGTCAGCGGGGGGGGGTCCTCGGGGGGAGGCAGCGGTGGCCCCTCCTGCCTGCTGGCCATCTCTTGCGGATTCTGGGTGGGCAGGAAGGGTGGCCTCTTGGCTGGGCTCCTCCTTCAGGGAGGCAGCTCCTCGTGCCGGGGCCTGGCCAAGGAGCCTCTTGCATCCCGGGCTCTGCCGGGGTCCCTCCTGAGGTGCCTGCCTTCCTTCCTTCCTTCCTTCCTCCCTCCCTCCCTCCCTTCCTCCTCCTCCTCCTCCAGAACTTCCTCTACAAGGCCATCGGGGTGAGCCTGGCCGCTTGTGCCAACAAGGACCTGGTGCGGAAACAGCTTCAGGAGCTGCTGGAGACGGCGCGATACCAGGAGGAGGCGGAACGAGAGGTGGGCCCCAGAGCAGAAGCTGGAGGGGGGGGGGGGGGGGGGGGGGGCCGCG